TTTGACTTTGAACTAAATTATATCACATATATTCAAATAGTTAAATATTTCTAATCCTATTTAAAGTAGGATTACCTACATTTTACTATTTACCAAATCAAGATACTATTATTTTTAAATAGATAAATATTTTGAAATGTGGCTAAATCTAATTAAAAATTATGTTATACTTGTATAAATCTAACCGATTGACTCAAACATGTCTCGATAAGATTGTATAAATCCCAATTTTACTTTTACCATTTAATTAATTATTAAACGTAAAAAAGCCAAGAAAAGTTAGAAAAATTACTACACCTCATATCAATATTGTCAACAACAAACAAAAAAATGAGTTAGAATGAAGAAATTTTTTAAGAAATGCCATTTTTCAAGTTCCACTTTTCAAAAATGCCACATTTTTAAAATCTTTGCAAAAATGCTATTTTTTCAAAATTATTTTTTTAAAATTATTTTTTCATTATATCATTTATGTTTGGGTTAACTATGTTGTATTTGGGTTTAACTTTTAGGGTTTAAAGGGTTTAAAGGGTCAAAGCATTTTTTTGGGTTTTTAATTTTAAGATTTAGGCTTTAAAAATCCATAATTAGCGACATTTTTGCAAATGGACACCCCTAAATGGCATTCTTGCAAATTTACACCTCAAAAGTGGCAATTTTGCGATTGCCCCTAGAATGAATCATATTAATCTTAGAAAACTAATCTACATTTTTATATTCTATTTCACATATAGAAAAATATAATAATTTATTTTTTCTAATGAAAAGGCAAAACAAATAAATTTTATAAAAAATATTATTGAAGTTTTAAATTGCGTAGATAGGAGAGAGCATAAAAGTATGTAAATGATTGTGAAAATTTGGATATTTAAACTTAAATCTATTCAAACTAAAAAAATTACATGTATATTATAATATCCCAATAGAAAAAGGTATTTGATTTATTGTTTTATCTAGTTCTATTTAAAATTAAAATATCTAATTGATAAATACAAATAAATAAGTTTTATTTTAAAAAGTTGTTTGACATGTAGCAAAATCTAATTTGACTTTTTTTTAACACATGTCAAAATCTTATCGATTAACTAACATATGTTACGATCATGTTAATTATTACGCATCAAATTTTATATAATAAAGTCTCCTAGTATCTTTAACGAAAACAATCTTTCAAACATATTATCTTTGATTGTTATTAACCCTCTATTCGTTTCGTGGTAGAGTTGCGTGGGCCGGACTATTTCACTCACTTAGGGGCCCAAGCCCGTATTTATTAAAAATGAGAAAAACCCTAACCTGCGCAGATACACATTTAACCTAATCCCTAGGCAGCACTGCAGCAGCCAAGAGACACTATAAATATCTCTTCTGAATTCTTTGAACAACTGAAAGTCATCCTCGCAGAACGGCTCAATCTCCTCTCTAACCTCAAGGTACACGATTCTCGATTCTCTCTGGATCTGTTCTCCGATCTGTTCTAATGCGATTGCGCAATTGTATTTTCTGGTCTTCTGGTTATGATTTGAAGTGATAACCCTCGGACACTAATCAAGGCTGGAGTCTCTAATCGGCTCTGTTGCTGGAAACCTTTTACTGGTTTCCGATGAGAAACACACTTACGAGCTTGAGATTTGGCATTGTAATGATGCCATAGGCTTTTGATCGAGGGAACATTTCTTATCAATTATCAGAATTCCTCAAAGTATCTTATGTGCTTGTCAGTGTCTAGAATTGTTTTTTTTTCAACTGGTTTCTTATATTTCCTGTATTATGCTTTGTCTATTGGTACACATTTATGCAATCTGGTAATACTTTTGTGACTTGTGTTTAATTGGTCTTTTAATCATCACCTTGAGCTTCGTCTTTTCTATTTTACATCGCTGGCTGTTTTTCTTTACTTATATATATGACTTAATGATCATTCTAACAATAAGCTATATTTATTTGTCTGTAAAATTATCTGTCTGATTGAATCTGGCTTCTCTTCGCTGTATAAGATTGTCTTGTTTTGCAGGGTTCGTTTTCTAAGGTATTGAGTATGTCTCACAGAAAGTTTGAGCATCCAAGACATGGTTCCTTGGGTTTCCTTCCAAGGAAAAGGGCAAGCAGACATCGTGGCAAAGGTAGCTAGTCTTTTAGTTAGATGTTAGAAGCAGACATAATTTCATTCTTTTTGCTGCTTCTGTATTTTGCATACTTCCTTGTCTTCCATTTTGCATCATATCTTGCTGTATTACATGTTCAATTAATCAAGCGATGGAGTAATTAGTTGGATTAACCCTGCTCAATATTTGATGAAAAGTGTTTGTTTTTTTCCAGCCTCTTAATTTCGTATGGCCTGTGTAGTTTGATCTTACATGCCTATTTTGTGTTTCCAGTGAAGGCTTTCCCCAAGGATGATCCCACCAAGCCTTGCAGATTCACTTCCTTCTTGGGATACAAAGCTGGGATGACTCACATTGTGAGAGAAGTTGAAAAACCTGGGTCAAGTGTGTTCTCTCTCTCTTTTCTCTTATTGAGTCTGTGGCATACATTAACGACTGCAAATGTTTTGTGCTGATTTGTGTAAATTAAACTGTCAGAGCTCCACAAGAAGGAAACATGTGAAGCTGTAACTGTGATTGAGACACCTCCAATGGTGGTGGTTGGTGTGGTTGGGTATGTGAAGACACCCCGAGGTCTGCGCACTCTAAGCACCGTGTGGGCTCAGCATTTGAGTGAAGAAGTAAGGAGGAGGTTCTACAAGAACTGGAGCAAGTCAAAGAAGAAAGCTTTCACCAAATACTCTAAGAAACTTGGAACCGAAGAAGGTAAAAAGGATATCCAAAGTCAGTTGGAGAAGATGAAGAAGTACTGTACTGTCATCCGAGTTCTTGCACACACTCAGGTATTCTATCTTTCTCAATATGGAGAGATCAACCACTTTGATTGTTTTCATTTTACTTATTTTCGGATTTGCATTATTAGATAAGGACAATGAAAGGGCTGAAGCAGAAGAAGGCTCATCTGAATGAGATTCAGATCAATGGTGGAGATATAGCTAAGAAGGTTGACTATGCCTACAGTTTTTTTGAGAAGCAAGTCCCTGTAGATGCTGTCTTCTCAAAAGATGAGATGATTGATATAATCGGTGTTACCAAAGGAAAAGGTTATGAAGGTGTGGTAACAAGATGGGGTGTGACCCGTCTTCCAAGAAAGACCCATCGTGGGCTCCGCAAGGTGGCTTGTATTGGTGCTTGGCATCCAGCTAGAGTCTCCTACACAGTGGCTAGAGCTGGGCAAAATGGATACCACCACCGTACTGAGTTGAACAAGAAAGTTTACCGGATTGGAAAAGTTGGCCAAGAGACCCACTCAGCCATGACTGAATATGACAGGTAAAACGATCATAATCTGTGACTGACTTGACTTATTCAAGCGAGAATCGAGTTCCTAACCTGTTTCTGTTTTTTATTTATTTCAGAACCGAGAAGAACATCACACCGATGGGAGGATTCCCACACTATGGTGTAGTGAGCGAAGACTATTTGCTGATTAAGGGATGTTGTGTTGGGCCAAAGAAGCGGGTGGTGACTCTGAGACAGACATTGCTGAAGCAGACATCGAGGGTTGCTATGGAGGAGATCAAGCTCAAGTTCATTGATGTTTCTTCCAACTTTGGACATGGTCGTTTCCAGACTTCTCTGGAGAAGGACAAGTTCTATGGCAGAGCCAAAGCTTAGAATCTTCAAAGTTTGTTGAACATTTTTTTTGTTTTTGTTGGTGAAGCGCTAGATTTCTTCCGCTCTATGGATGTTATTGAATCTTCTTTTGCAGTTTTCATTGTTTTGACTATATTGAAACAATTTTATGCACTACCGAATTGACCTTTGCGAGTTGGTGGCAACTAGAATTACTTTCATTACTTTTTTTTTGATTAAAATCAACTCCAAACATAGGATAAATTGCAACCTTCATAAAATTATTTTACATTTCTAAATTTCAAAACAATTGCAAGTTATTTGTTAAAAATGGATTTTTGTAAAATAATTTTACATTAAAAATGCGTTTATGTATCAGTATCACTTTACTACTTAGGTACATATCCGACTCATTACCATAATTAGGGGTGGGCAAACATAAATATGGGATGAGATTTCAGGGAATCGGGACGAGAACGGTGATTTTCTAAAAATATGTTCCATTTGTTTTCCATTCAAAACT